CGCACATCCAAGGAGTGCCACTTGCGCTCAAGGGGACAAGAAGGATTTGGGCAAAAATCCGGCAATATAATTTCCTGGGCCCGGTGAAATAGTGAATTCACCTTTGGAATGAATAAAGGATCTAGTCTCAAAACCACTCTGTCTTGGTGGAAGGTACATAGGTCCTCCCTAACAGAGAGCGCGGCCAGTTCCGAAACACACCGTGCCGACGTGACTGCCACCAGAAAGGCCACTTTGTAGGATAAAAGATGAATTGGACAAGACCCGAGAGGTTCAAAAGGGGACCTTGTAAGGGCCTGTAGGACTCGAGGCAACTCCCAGGAAGGATACCGATGCACCACAGGAGGCCTGGTATTGGTTACGCCCTTGATAAAGGATCGGACCGCTGGGTGATGGGATAGCGGCGTAGAGTTGGTACAGGTGAACACCGTAGAGAGCGCGGCCACCTGTCTACGGATAGTGTTGGGCGCTAAGCCCCTATCCACCCCATCCATGAGATATTCCAAAACTACCGGAATAGTGACAGAAGAAAGAGAAACACTTTTGTTGGCACACCATTCACAAAAATTCTTCCAAGTGGCATCGTAAATCCGGTTTGTCGCCGGCCGCCTTGAAGCCTGGATCATAGTAATTACTCTTGAAGAGTAGGATCCCTGCATTAGGAACTGGCGTTCAGATGCCAGACGGCCAGTTGGAGCCACTGTGGATCCGGATGCCGTACGGCTCCCTGTGTTAGGACTATCCGCTCTGGAGGAATTCTCCACGGTGGAGTTACGGCGAGATTCATGAGATCCGCGAACCATGGTCGCCTCGGCCAGTGTGGGGCCACAAAAATCAGCTCCGCTTGTTCCTGCAACAGCTTCCTGATGACGGCCGGGATCAAGGGAAGCGGAGGGAATGCGTATAGGAGGCCCCTCGGCCAAGGAGTGCGAAGAGCATCCGCTCCCTCCGAACCCTGAGAAGGGTATCGAGAGAGAAACCGGGGAAGCTGGGCGTTCTCCAGGGAGGCGAACAGATCGACATTGTGTTGACCAAACCGGTGAGAGATCTCTCGAAAGAGACGGGGATGCAAGCGCCACTCTGAGTGGTCTACTATAGACCGACTCAAGAAATCCGCCTGTCGGTTGTCCACCCCCGAAATGTGTTCCGCTTTTAGGGACAGAAGATGTCTCTCCGCCCATGCCCCCAGCAATCGTGCCTCCGACATTAGGGCCCGAGATCGTGTTCCACCCTGCCTGTTGATGTGGGCCTTTGCCGCCACATTGTCCGTCAGGACTAGTACGTGGCGGCCTTCCACTATCTTGTGGAAATGGCGAAGTGCCAAGTGTATGGCCCTTAGCTTCAGCCAATTTATGTTCTGTTTGAGATCCCTTTTGGACCACTGACCTTGCGCTAAATGATGTTGTAGATGCGCTCCCCATCCGAATAGGCTGGCGTCCGTGGTCAAGGTTATGCGAGCTGGTTCCCTGAAAAAGGATCCTTTGTCCAAAGCCGGGGATAGCCACCAGAGAAGGGAAGAAAGGGTCTGAACTTGGACCTGTACCCTCTGTGGAAAACAGGCTTCTCCCCGCCTCTGATAAGGGAGCAGAAACCACTGAAGTTGTCTTGTGTGGAGTCTGGCCCAGGGCACTATATTGATGCAGGAAATTAATTTTCCCAACAGCTGCGAAAGAAGGAGCAGGGTCACCCGCTTTTCCCTGCGCACCTTGGAGACCAACTTGCGTATGCTGGT